TCACCAGAGGAGGAATCGATGGAGGAATAGGTGTGGACTGTGTTTGTCCCGATTTAGAAAGGGAAGATTTAGATGTTTCAGGTTGGTATTCTCGGGTTTTATTACCTGAGGTGTACCATTGAACATGGGGACTATCTACTGAGGTCCTCGTTGTATCTCGTTCGGAAATGGCTGATCCCTGGGATGAGTCTTTGCTGTCAGGATTTTTAAGCTCTTGAACTAGTTGTTGCAGTTCCGTACGTACTCCACGAAGTATTTCGAATTTCAGTTGAGCGTACGTGTGAATCGGTAGGTGTCGTTCTATCAGCTGACTTCCACTTTCGTACGCCGGTCCCTCGTAAGCCGTGTTCATCAGAGCCAATTGTTTAATTTCATCATAAATATGTTGCGTCTCGCGTCCGTAAGTGAGTGAGCAAGTCTGTGGTTGATCGGAAGCCTGTGTTACAGAGTAACTTCTAACTGGACCACCGGATCGGCTGGGTTCAGTTCCCACCAGTTTGGTGAGCAACGGTGGTGTGGTTCCACGAACCAGGGTCAACTCGTCCGGTGCAACGGGGAGTACATCTGTGGAACGAGTTGCACTCAGAAAACGATACTGGCTGAGAAGCTGTTTCGTATCAGTAAACTGTTTGTTTAATTCTTCCAATAGGTCACGTTTGAGACCTTCTAAATGACCAATTGTACGTGCCACTTCCCTTTTTCGGTCTTCACGAAGTTCATATCTAAAATACGAAGTTATGAGAAGAGGAAAGAAAGCAATAGTCAATCGGTTCAGTTTTATTTCTGTACCAACTTTCGTCTATCATCTGCTGTAACACTAAAATTCTTGCCTTTGAAAATGATGTTCCACCGAACTTTCAAACTGATTTTCTAATAATGAAGGTTCCAATTTTTATCACTAGTTGTATTCCGTAAACCCCAAGTGCATATATGAAAGTGGGAATAAAAACGAACTTTACACGACTACTCGATAACTCATGTGTTCGTGTATGATGTTTTACATAATGTTTGCTCAAAGCTTTGAAACTTTAATTCCCACATTGTTGTCACAACTCCATGAGAGCGATTGACTGAAAAACATGTATATTGTTCAGTCACGATATCCTGCAACCTATTCTTTAACAATCTAAAATAAATTGGATGGTAAACTGATCAGTTTGAAAGTGCCGGTAGACAACTTTTCTTGCATCTCTTTCTTCAACGAAATTTTACTCACTTTAGCATTTGCGGTCTCTGTAGTGAAATAGTGCTTGTGTTCCTGCATTGTAACAGTGTACAGTTCGCGCTGTTGGAGTGAATCAACAACCAATATCTGTTATACTCCTCTTTCTTTGCATTTCAGGTCTGACAGCATCAATGAAACACAGACAATCTTCTAAAAGACATCCTGAACTCGATAATATCCAAGAGTAGGATTGAAATACTAATATTTTCAAATGTGTTTGGGTTGGCGTGGTAGTTCATCTACTACGTATCCGCTACCACGTATATATTGACTGTTGCACGCAAACTGTGATCGATTGATTACACTCCTATAATTGGTTCTGTGTGCATGAGTATCTATGCGATGATCTTACCGAGGACATAACATCCACTACGTTGACTGTTGTAAGATGTATTGTTTGAGTGGCAGTGAAAGTGTATGCCCGACATTTTTGTACAATTAAACTAAAATCGATGTTTTGTCTTTACGGACGGGATTGCGGAAAATGTACTGGTTTTGGAACAATAGACAATCCCAGCGGTGGTTACACGATGAAAATATCTTCGCGAACTGTTTTTCATGTCGTTTTAAACAGTATTGTTGTTGTATAATTAGGCGTGTAGAATAAAAAGCACACTTGTAGAGGAACAGAGGAACAGAGCTGCATCTGGTTAAAGTCCCTAGTCATTAATGTTTGTCCCATTAGCTCCATTGGGACTGGAACCCAAGACATCATATGCAAAACAATGGCAAACTGTCTGCTGTATCATAAATCAGCTGATTACCATGTGCTGTGCAGTTTTGTTTGCTATTTCATGTATCCCGTTTTCATAGTAGTTCTGTTAGAAAAGATTGCTTCCTTAAGGATAGTGCTACAATGTGCGTGACTCTTGAATTCACTGCAGAGGGGCAGAGTTGAACTTTATACTGACAGAGTCTAGCAATTCGATCAGTTGCTAACCAATCCATTGATTATCTTGATTTCATATTGTAAGATTCCTACTTCTATTTGCAATTGGATCGATGCATTCACACAGCTGACAAAACTGATCTTTGCCTAGAAAATGCCATTCTCTCAAAAAATAAATCCATTTAATACCTTTTCGCGTTATTATTATAATTTAAGATAACATTGCTTATTCAAATTGTGTTGTAATTTGAGAGTTGGATGAGTAATTCAAATTTGAAAGGGTCGGTGAAATCATTGTGGTCTCGTACAGCATGCGCTGTTCAAAAGCATAGGCGGCTTGCGTGCATGGCTTCGAATCCTACTGAGGCAACTGAAGTTTTCACAGTTCAAACACAAAATAAATTTTCGCCTTTGCTCCTCTTTGGTCCTTATAGTGCACAAATATAACTAATTGAAACAACTTTAATAAAGAAAACAAAAGTTGAATCGAGTCATATATTTAAATTACTGCAAAAATCATGTTATATCGGTGCTTACTAACTATCGTTCGAATTTACAAACGACTGAAAATGTTGAAAATAAAACTCACCGAAGACTAGAAATGTCCTGTTTAATTTCCAATAAGTCGTCTTCATTTACTCCGTCTTGACGCATGGTTTTCTTGGACTGATGAATGTATCGCCTGACCAATCGGCACATGACAGTCTGAAAGCACAGAACAGATAGAATAGACCGAGTTAACCAGATGGAATGCGACCACAAACGAATCACATCATCTACTGCACGCCATCCTCACGTACGTTCCTGTCAATCTCAATTGTCCTGCAGCCAGACGTAGTTTAGGCTGAGTCTTAGGACGACCATAATCTGCTCTTATTATACACCAGTCCTATGTGTACTCTGTCTCTCTCGCACACACACGTAAGATCTTGTGCGTGTGGATCGAAGAGCGAGTTGCCGCTAACGAACAGAAACAGCGAAAAATATCAATCCCTTATTCTCCATGTGCTAAAACGTTTGACTGCAACCTTAGTTGGGTGCCCTTCTTTGATCACCACGATAAGCAGAATGATGTTAATTAGCTTGAGATACAGTTTGTTTAAATGGTGATAAAATGTACCAGCAAATTATTGGGCAAACGAACCAAAGTGAAGGAAATATCAAGTATAATTGTAGTAAATATGACTCCCATATATATTCCTACTGGGGTAGCACACTTCTGTGTTAGAATGAGTTGGCCATGTGAGTGAATTCCAGAAATATTTGGGGATATGAAACATTTTGGTACCCCAGGATTCTCTCGGTCTTTGTCTCCGACGAATCACCTGTAACATTTGCATAAATTGTGGTAACATGAAGCATAACTGCAATGTCAATCAGTTTGATTAATGGCGGACCAGAACCACATACATTTCTATGGAAATTCATAACTTTCTGTGTCAATTGGATATCCGCCAGTCCGTGCTCATCTGCAAGCGCTCACTCTGTGAAGAAATGACCATATGTTTACAGATGATCATCCCCATGTCCATGTGCTGAAGATGCCCTCAAAAACGGCAGACTTCGTTGATTGGTTACAAACTTTTGTTGGCCTACTACCCCGTTTACCAAGCTTGACCATCCATATTCTCGCACAGCTACATCCCTACATTCATGCTTTTCCATAATGTGACAAAAATCATCGCATTTGATTGCAATGAATCAACGTACTGTTTACCCCAACCCGGAGCTGAAACCCTTTGACGACCGCACATTTCCCAAAGAAAGATTCTCATCGGCAATATTTTTGTTTTGTTTCACAGCTATGGTCAGGCTTCACTGTTTGCGTGTGACAACGCTGGGATGTCCAGACTGCGGTTGTCACTGGGTTTGACAATGGAACTTGATGTTCTCAATCACTTACTTTAAACAAATAAGCATATATATAGCACATGGCGTTATCCAGTTATGGTGAATGAACGTGTACAAGTATACAAAGATCACTAAACATAAAATTAGATCAACTCTACGGTAAGTGGATTGCTTGTATCAAAAATGTTTGTGCGCATAAGGTCGGGGGATGTAACCGAATAAGCAGGGCTTAAAACACATTTAGAGCATTTTAACTCAGTCCATTCACATTTCTCTGTATCTCATGAAGTAGAAACCAACAACACTCTAGCGATTCTGGACATAAAAGTCACGAGGCGAATAAATGGGACATTGCAACTTTCAGTTTACCGAAAAGCGACATGGAATGGCCAATACCTACACTTGTCCAGCTTTTCCCCATGGTTTACAAACGTGGCCTTTTGAGAACCCTATTTGATAAGGCGAGAAACATTTGCTCTCCTAACACACTAAAGGAAGAAAAGGATTTTCCTAGGAGAACATTACTAGTCAATGATTACCCAGAAAAGTTTATAGACATTCACAGTAGACCATTCCCAAAAGGTAACCTAAGCCCAAGCATTAGCAAAAAAATTGTCTACTTTAAGTTTACTTTCAAAGGTGACCACATTTACAATATTGTGCGCCACAAGTTGAGTTCAGCTCTAGACCGTACATTCCGAGACTTATTGCCTCCTTTCGTGGAATTGACCTGGATAAACGTAAACATAGCTGGCAAACCAGTTCCGTCTCACACACTGTAAACCAGTTCACCTGAAGTTGCGGTGACGCACACATAGGCAGAACAAACCGTCAGCTCTCGCAACGGATGGCCGAACATAACCCAAAGTGATTGCTGAAATTGATGACGCAAACGACAATTGATGGGCAAGCGACTACAAGAAATCCAGGGTCATCTGTTGCAAAACGTATCATGACAACAAGACATGGTTGATCCCAATCCGTCTTTCAAACCACTTTTACTTAATCACAGTGCTAAACTCTTGGCAATTAGCGAAGCGCTGTTTATTCGGTTGCATCATCCGACCTTATGCGCTCCGAAGTGTTTGATACAATCAATCCGCTTCCTGTGGAATTGACCTACTTTTATGTTTAATGATCTTTGTATGCTTGTACACGTTCATTCACCACATCTGAATAACGCCATGTGTTATATATATATATATTCTTGTTTGTTTTAATTAACCGATTGAGAAGATTAAACGAAATGTTAACATCTCGCGACATTTGTCTTCTTTCTCTACTAATGGAATGGATAAAGGGAACCCGAAATTTCAACGAACTTGATGTAGTAGAATATCATCATGAGGAGTGTGAGCACGACAATAACAATACGTTTGCTAATCGTACGTATTATAAACGCTTTATTTACATTGATATATTTTCTTCAAAGTATTTGGAGTAAACTAAACCTTTCCCTTGCCTGGTATATCCAGGAAAGGGGAGAAAACTGGCGTGCGATTATATGCTATTGTTTGGTAGGTAGATGCATTATGTTTTCCAAATCTTAAAGCATGAGGCGTCCGAGTGAGATTTTACACCATCATTTTTGTGTTCGGTGTATATTGTATCTGGCTAAGCCACTGGTGCGACTCGGCTTGGGCGCAGTTTACGCTGTACAGAGAATTCGGTGGCAAATATACATACGTAATGCAAGCAAAAGTATTTAAAAAAAACAGTTGTGATGCCCGCGAAACTAAAGTTCCTTTTCCTCCCCCAATTGCACGGTTTGCTTGGCGCTAAAGCATATCAAGGAAAACATTTGTCAGATGATTACAGAAATCTCTCATAATTGTATGGTGCAGTAAATCCTTTGTTTATTGCTTTGTTCCGAATTGCACAATACAATGCTTGCTCGCTGAGCACTGTTGTTGTCTTCTGCTTTCTTCTGCTTTACTATTGCCGAGTGTCCCATACAGGTTTTATCATTGAATATATGACCACTTCTGCTGAATTACATTTGTCTGACAGTTAGGACGGTCCCCCTCCCCTTTTATCCTTTAATCATCTTTTGGTACGTTGAAACACTGAGGACAGTGTCCTTCGTGGGAAAGGATGGTGTAATGCTTGGCAACACGTTTTTCTACACCTCATCAAACGTTTCGGGTTCGTGGGATTTTGCTCATCTTAGTTTGCAGATGTACTGTAAATCCACGCTCACGTAGGATCTGTCTACCGGAGATTCCATCTCCTCATCATCTGGTATCATGGTACCCAGCGGTTCCGTTGTCCATCGTCCGTTCAGACTCATGTCGTCTTGCATTGTCGAAAATAGAAGCTGGGCGACGTTTTGTTGTGCATCCGACTCCACGGTGCTGAGCATGCCCGGAGAATTTCCGTAGTACATATACTTCAAATTCTACCGATACTATGGTTGGTTACTCAAACATGATGGTTGATGTATTCAAGTATGGTGCAAAACCAAATTCTGGTTGAGAAAAAAGTTCTGTCTGTGCCCACATACGTGTGCATTACAGATACTAGTATCCTCCATCTACATATTTGGATGAGAGTGCACTACTAGAAAAAAAAAGAAATAAATACACATTGCAAAAAGAATAATTGAACTTACTTGGTAAAATGTTGGCCTTTTGACCGGTATGTTGGCTGATTTGCCAGACTGCAAGCAAGTGTTGTTGAACGTAGGGGACGGGGACGGGGACGGGGAGGGATAAGTAGCAAAGATGGGGAGGAACGTGAAACACTTGAGACAGATAAATGCCAACTGAACCAATGAAATTGAATATCGCTGTTTTTTCTCATGTGTGAGCGTGTCTGTGCATTAAGATATTTTTAGTGAAAAGTACAACATGGTCAATGTAAGGGAGAATAGGTTGGTCGAATGCATGACCACCAACAGCACTATCCGTCGCAACAATAACAGCAGCAAAAAAGTAACAGATGATAGAAAGTGATCAATTCTTTTTCCTCTGTCCGTCTGAGATGTGTGTG